TACTAATTGCAAAAAGAAAAATAAAACTATCCATATCCTGTGTTAAGGGGATGATCATTAAACAAAATCATGTCTTCAGTTCTTTATTGCTAATGCTAGCAAAATGAGACATAATGCCATCAATAACCCCCCTGTTCCTTTCTTTCTAGATCACTAAATGATAGCCAACAAAACAAGTGACAAGCTTTTTTCTTGGACTTGTATACCCCAATGTCGTCATATGCCCATAATTCATTCTCATTTGAAGCATCTAGCTTATTAGGACAAGTTTAGAAAGGATAGATATGAATCCCATAACTTTAGGCTCTACACACCAAATAAGGAGATGCTTCAAGATTCACTCTCTTGTAAGCACATTGGATACCCATTAGTGATAAACCTATCACGCTTGCTCATATTATCCATTGCGAGGATATTGCCTAAGCAGCTTTCCAAGCGTAGGAAGTAACATGAGGGAAAGCTTTTTTCTTCCAAATATGCTTCGAAAGAAATCAAAGACAAAATGGTAAAAAGTGATAATAAGAATCAAAGACAACATGGCAGGAATCTAAGAGTCATAAAAAGGACCATGTAATTTATCTTCCAATTTTAAGATTGGGCAACATATACATATTCCTCAAGGGAGAAGAAGCACCATTACTGGCCACAATTGCTGAGTGAAGCGTCCCTAGCCACAACAAGAGGAAAGATTCTGCAGAATCTATCTTTTTGAGTGGTCTCTTACCACACCATCAATTTGCCCAAAGCTCAATGCATGGCCAGTGGCAAGTGAAACAACATCAGGTCAATAAAAGAGCTCATTCCTTATTAATCCATTTCTAGAGGCAAGTACCATAGCTTCGACTAATCCTATTTGTCTTCCAACCCATGTTGTCCAATCCATACTTAGCAATGATCATCTCTCCACAAACCATTTTGGCAGGACATGAATTTCTAGAGCCACTAAGCCAATAAAGCCTTGTTGATAGTAGGCATAGATTTTATGCTAGGACTGTTGAAACGGAGCATCCTGCCTCGCTTGCTAGGTAAGTGCTGCTTCATCCTTCTCTTTCTAGTTAACTGCATCTTCCTCCAAGCAACAACGGTCCACAAGCACTTTTATTCTCTCATCTACTAGGCTCAAGTCAAGAGTCAACTGCCAACAAAATTATCCACCACCCATCTGCTCTAGTGCCTTTGTGGATGAGCTGTCTCCAGTAGCCTCCTTCATTCTTCTCCCTTAGTTCTACACTCTCGTGCACTTCACTACAGGATTTTGATGTAGAAAAACTTACACAGGTTTAAAAAACCTTCTGATTTCCTGGTGGAAGAAGTGAAAAGGAGAATCTTTGCTTAAGACCATCCTCGATGATTTTGAGAATGTCCCAAATCACATTCTAAAACCACATCAGAAGGTTTTCCTCTCTATAATAAGCCAAGCAGCAGGCCCAGAAACAAGGAAGATAGGATTTTATCACTCTAAAAAGAAGAGAGTTTAAAACACAAGCAACGTTACTTCACCTTGCATTAGTGATAATTTTTTTATTAGTCAAGAGTCCCTTGGTTTTTTTTTTTTTTTTTTTTTTTTTGTTTGAAGAACACACAAACTAATTCTAGGAGACCCTCGATATTCAAAATTTCTATCATGTGTAGAACATCATTTAAATAATGCTATGTTGGGCTTATGGCATAACATGATTTACTTTGTCCTATTGTGCAGGTGATGAGGGTATTCTCAAGATGTGAAATAGTAGGTAGAAGGTTTCCCATATGTCACGTGCACATCGGTGATACCATTGTGGAGGTTTGTTCATTGCATTAATATTTTACTAATTTCTTTTTGTCCCTAATAAAACTCAAAACTTTGTGCTGCCGATACTTGGTCAATTGTGTTTGGAAAAACGACAGTAAGTTCTGATGGTTCTTATTGTGTTTGATTTTTCCTAATAATCTTTCTATGAATCAGGTTTCAAGTTTTAGCACCTCAACAAGAAAGTCGAATATGCACTTGAGATATGAATTTGGAAAACCAGTGGCCCTAATTATAGGATCATGTCGTTGCGAGAATGGTTTGCA